TTCGGCTTAGGGCATCTGCGACGACGTTCGCCTTTCCCGGATGGTACTGGATAGAATAATCATAATCTGTGACCAATTCGAGCCAACGGCGCTGCCTCATATTAAGCTCCTTCTGCGTGAAAATATACTGCAGGCTCTTATGGTCTGCGAATATCTCGCAGCGTCCGCCGTAAAGATAATGACGCCAAATCTTCAGGGCGTGACTGCGGCTAACTCTAAGTCGTGCGTAGGATAGTTCTACTCATGAGGCTTAAACTGACGTGAAACATACGCAACGACCTGTCCGTCCTGCGTAAGGACACATCCCAGGCCCTGTCTCGAAGCATCGCTAAAGATAGTGAAACTCCGAGAAGGATCGGGAATAGTCAACACCGGTGCTGAAGTTAACCTCCTCTTGAGCTCCTCGGAAATAGTAAAACTGGAATGTATAAGCTTAACTTAAAGCTTATACTTACTGATTACATGACTTGAGAATCCAGTAATTTAATACTGAATAAAAGACTTGATCTGAATTGAAGATACATCAATTCACAATTAAGTGAATTGTAGAATACTGCTGACTGAAATTGGACACTTTTCTAAAGGAAAGTGTTCCACTGATAAGACATGATTTCAAAACGAAACTCTAAAATATGTTGGTCACCCTCTCCTGGCTGCTGGCGTATCTCCAATCGGAATGCTGGTGGTGAAGACTCTCTTCGCAATCTCCCCGTGTACTGAGACTCAGATATGGCATCCTTGAATGGAAAGCGTCGGTTTACCATCATGGCACGATCCGTTGTTGTCGATTGGCTCTTCTTCATCGCGGCGAATGTCAACCTGTGGTACCTGCAATTTTTTTCTTCCTCCGAGGTTCAACTTAACCTCAAGAAGAAGTCCCTCATGACTTAATATCTCCCACGATTTCTCAGATTCTCCAGAATTTGAGAATCGAGGCGCTGACATACTGAAAATGGTAGATAAGTCTTGTCTTTCCAGACAGACTATCCTCGATCTTGACATGACTGGCCTGAATATTCACCTAACTGAATAACCATGACTTGACTCTCACATGACTGAATCATCTTTGTTCGAACTCTGAAAACTATCCGAGACAACTTAAATAGTCGCTTCGAGATTGAAAACGTGATATTTACTGACTTACTTGACTTGATAAGGTGCGACTTCAAGTTTCCAGGTAAATCTGGACTAATGGTCCGTATATCA